GAAAACAACAATATTGTATATAAATCACTAAGTAAGCTTTTTGTGGTGTTCTGAAGTGCAACTGCATCAAATACTTGTAAAGTTGTAGCACATTTTGATTTTGTTGTATTAATATATGAAATGGGCAAAATGAAAATTGTCATTAAAACACCTCTGCTGCAATAGTGTTTTTAATACTTCTACCCTTCTTTTTCTCTTTGTTTTGTAGTTCCTATACTTACAATGTAAGTAAACAATTTGAATTATTAATACAGTTTTCACCTCAATAATAACTTTCACAAGCAGTTGCTAGTGGATTATGTTCTCTGAGTATACACATCTGGTGTTGTATTTTCCAAGAATGATGAAGTTCATGTAGATATGTTATAGAAAGGCCATAAAACCAAATGAATTAAACACGTTTTATGTACTTTTATGCTAGAAGCTTAAAAGATTTTTAGAAATTATAAGATATTAAATTGTACTAACTCTATCCCATCCATCTCATAAAAAGAATCAAGAAGCAAATAATATTAGAAAAACTTTGAAAGGTCAAAAAGTTTTCTTCAAAAAAGAAGCAAATGAAGCAAATGACAAATCTTCATTCTGTACTCTATTAGGTAAATAAGCTCAAACTGTTTTTTACAGCAAAAACTGAAATACGAATGAAAAATACAGCACAGTAACTTTAATAGTTTTATCACTATATAGCATGTATTTAATATTAGTACCATTCAAACAGCACTCTACTAAAACATTTGACCAATGGATTATACAGTTTGAAGCTTCACATCTGCATTGAGTTATAAACAATCTCACTACCACTGTTTGCATAAACACAAACTTTATGGCCATCCCATTTCACGTGTCTGTGACATTTCTTAAGCATGAAAACACACACAACCTTCTTGCCATCTTTCTTTGGTACTTGAGCTTTAATTTCAAAACATTCAAGGCATCCTTTGTTAATCTATTGTCTCCATCCATAGAATTTGACCATGACCACATTAAATAATTCTGGTTATTCTAAGGCAATAAATCATTTATCTTTTCAGTCTTATTATTTTTTTGTAAGACTCTGCCTGGCCATTAACATCTTCCAATCATCTTTGCTACTTGATCTTCCCTGCATGTTGTCAGCAAATAGAACATAACAAGCTCTGCTCCCAATCATGGGTACTGTTTGGCTGATCATTTCTTTTTGACATCTACCCACAGAGCAAAATGTGTGTAGGGTCTTTTTTGTTTCAGGGAAACGTTTTGCAAATGGATTGGCAAATTCAGGATTTCATGCAGTAACAAATGTGTGCTGAGTTTTTTAAACAAAAACAGGAAAACATCAGTCTATTTTGAGTTCAAGTCAGTTAAAAAATACGATCTTTGACACGGATTTTATAGCTTTTCAAGTGAATAACTGCTTTTCAATCTTTGATGCACAAAGAAAGCAAGCAATTATCTCACCTGTGAGAAGCGAGATGCTCCTTTTTGTGGAAACTACGACATCGAACAATTGAACAATTGAAGTATTAGCATTATGAAAGAAATGCCAAAAAGATATCGCGTTTGTTTTTGAAAAATTCTATAAAATTTACTAAATACACAAGGGGGAGGTCGAGAATATTTTTTTCTGCAAAGCGAACATTTCAGCGGAAATAGGTCCTTTGGCTTCCATGTTTTTTACAACAGTTCCCAGTCCACTTAGCCGCTCTAGTTATTATACAACTCAATGGTGTGTGTATGTGTCACATCCACAGACGACAGACCTGTATAGTAATTTCCTGCACGGAAATCATCATCCAAATTATTATATTTTATTAACGCGCGGCCGGTTATGAAAAAACATGGCTGATTTTGGATGAAAATGTCAGTGGAAGAACGCGGGCTCACAAAACTAAAACTTTTTCTCCCAACCGAATTTTCATCCAAAATTCATCTATATAATATATCTATATACGAAGACAGAAAATTTCAAAGCTGTTTTTGTAACAAAAACTTTTTAAAATTTCATCGATTAAAACTTGTGTAGTATATGAGTACCGAGATATTACAAGAAAAGAAAATATTTCATGACACGGGTAAGCAAGATTCAAAGAGTCGGGTTAAATTGTTGTTTGTCAATAGTTGTCGTGTGACGGCATTTGGCATCTATTTTGTTAATGTTTTTTACTACCTAATTGTATTTTAAACAGTGTTTTCCTAATAGTTTTTATTCTTTACTTGAGAGGCTAAGCAACCAATTCTTTTCGAGCTAAACATGTCTTGCAATCAAGAGAACTCACTTATAATTAATTAGGATTTGTTTATAATGTTTTCTGAAAATATGGTGGATTAGTTAAGAATAGAGTTGAGTTGAAATTGAACAATATTTGTGTCGAAAACATTGTGATAAATGAAGTATGTTGTGTGGTGTAGGCAGCCTGCAATTTGTTCATGCTATGTATTTTTGGTGTTTACTTACTTAAGAAATGAATAATGCTAATGGTGAAAAATTTACCTAATATAAACAAATTTTCAGGCTGACTATGCCACTGTTCTAAGTAGGTCAATACACCAGAATCAAGATAAGAACTGCTCTGAGCCAAGATTTTTTTCTATTTACAAATTTTAATTCAAGACAAGCTAATGATTTAGACAAGCCATGAAAAGTTTAATTCAGCATTGCCTTATCTGATAACAATCCACACTTGGTATATTCTTAGGTAATCCAGGATTCACATGGAATGCTTTAGTTGCAATGAGGTCAAAGACAAACAAAAGGAAGGAGTAGAGCTGAGAGTGCATTGGAGAGCTAGAATTTAAATAAAATCGATAACTGAAATCAATTTGAAATTATTATCAGTTTTAAATTGCAAAGAGTCCAGATGGACCTCGCAAAACAAGCAGTTCCTCAAAAGGTTATTAGTCTCTTTTTAGAAATTCTTATTGTGCCTAAACTTGATTCTTAAAACATTAAGTAATACCAATTACTTTTACTTTTAATACACAAAAGTATTTATAAATCTTTTATTCTATTGCAGCTATTGTTGAGTCATCCTCATAAACCGCAAAAACAAGTTAAGGAAATAGTATGTGATTAGTCTGGTTTACCAAAGTATCCGTTCCCATACGGCTAACAGCCAAGGAACACCTATTGACGTTAGTTAAATTTCCTTATGTACCAAATATAGCTTAAATAGACTATTATGACCAATAATAATATTTGTTATTTGTAATGAAGACTATAAATAATGCTCTATAAAATAATGAATTCGGTTCAATCATTAAGTTCACTCGTGGTTGTCACTGAAAGTATAGAGTATGATTTAAGTTGAATTTTGTTCATTTTGTAGCTCACCAAGCTCAAGATATTTTCTTTACATGTACTCTGTAGAACTGCCAGAATATCTGAATAGACATAATAAGCCAGTATGATAAAATTAACCCAAAATTTAACGATACCCATAGGCCATACTTAAAACTTTGTCTGTTGATTGTTGTCAAGAATCAAGATTTAACTAGACGTTGGGGTTTTTTTCTCGTGTCTTTGTGTGAATACTTTCTAACACTTGTATATCTAATCGATAAAAATATCTTATCCAGCGCTTTACGAATATATAAACAGAAAGCGAAGTTTGCGTATAAACTTTAAAATATTTTATATTTACGGTCCCACTAAGGAAATCCGTCTCCTGTTATTTTAAATCTAAATTGTTATTTGACTATAGTTGAGTTTCTTTACCGTGGATTTTCTTCGTATAATTATGTGTATGTTCTATAAAACGCTAAAGCATATCTTTGCATCGAAAGCGTAATAGTTCTTGTGTTTTTAACGCTGGTTGTTTGTGTTGAACAGCATTAGTTTATTAGAAATAGAGAGAGTGAATTGCAAAAAAACTTTCAAAGTGGAAGATTTTCATCCAAAAATATGACGAATGTTTAGTTAAGTGTCCCTAGCATAGGCTTTGAGAAATATTCACCACAAACCCGAAAAACATTCTCATTTTTCATATGCATAGAAATCAACATTTTAATGTTAAAAAAACTGCAAAAATACAGTAAAACTATTCGCGATTAAGGAGATGTATTTGTTTTTCGTGTTTTTCCATGTACTAAGATATTTACAGTTTTGTGAAAGTGTTTGTGTCAACGGTCGTTAATTTTCTGTTGAGAGTTGCCTACCTTGTCAAAATACAAGACCTATTAGACCATACATACGTGTTTTTGCAAATTTACCTTCTTTCCCGGTATGGATCTGGAAAAGTCTCATGAAATGTACAACACAAAGTCTCGTATGTTTGACAAATATCATGTAATGTATCACAACTCGCTACGAACAGTTAACTATTAGAAAATGTCACTTTTAACTATTAGAAAATGTTAACTATTAGAAAATGTCACAACAATTAGAAAATGTCACAACAATTAGAAAATGTCACGAAAGAAAAATGTCACTTTTCTTAGTGTGCCCCGCCTTGTTATTTCTATTGGTTCACATCAACCAAACCCACTTCCCGTCACGCGACCCTAACTATAACGATTGTTTTCTATTTCCAACACGTGTAACTCACGCGAGATAGCGAGCGTGATAAACATGCATATAAGCCAACGAATATATTTGTAAAGCGATTGCATAAAAAAACATCAATAAATTTCTGGGCTGCCTATGGTTTGACACATTTAGTAAAACTTTTCATTTCTCATATGTATTCTCGTATGTCTCGTATGTCATTTTCTCGTATGTATGCATATGTTTGGCACAGGCAAAATTTGTCATTTTTAATCGTTTGTCATACAAAAATTGAAATTCTCACAAAAATTTTCAATCGTGAGCGAGGAAAAAGTCATAAAAATAAAAGATTATGTAGAGATGCATTGGCCGGGAATCGAACCCGGGCCTCCCGCGTGGCAGGCGAGAATTCTACCACTGAACCACCAATGCGCCTGCACATACAACAGAAATTTAGTTTATAAATTGTGCGCTTACAAAAAAAGAAGTTAGTAGTAATCTTTTCATGTATGAAAAATAGCTGAGCACAATAAACACAGAGGCTACAGAGGTTTGCGGCCTTGAGGTATAATTATGGTTGGTCTTTTTTGTGATTATTATTTTATGTTGTGAAATGATTCAGTTGTAGACTGCTACTAGCCGATAATGGATCCTGATGTTGTGAAACGGACACAAGATACGTTAGGAAGAGTTATTAAGAAGCCTCCTATGACCGAAAAACTGCTCAATAAACCGCCGTTTCGTTTCCTTCACGACATCGTAACTGAGGTAAAATTCTAGGGTTTTTACGTTTTAATTTGTTTTTGTTGTTCAATCGTCAGAAAATGGACAAATTATTTTCTAGGTTATAAAGACCAATGGATTCTTCAAGGGTTTATATCAAAATGCCGAGATGAACTCGGCAAATGTCAAGGTATAGGCTATAGGACTTAAATGTATTGTTATTATATAAACAGTTACATGAACATGGCAACAGATGAGATAGCTCTGAATCTTATTTTATATTGATTTGGTGTCTTTTTAACACCTATTCGCTATTTTTTCATAGGAAAAAGATGCTAAGATTTCCTTTCTCCAAAAGGCAATTGACTGTCTGGGTTTGTCATATAGAAAACTATTTTGTTATTGTCATTTGTTGACACGAATTTGGAAAATTAAGTTTAACTTTTTGCCTTACAAAACCTGTAAAAGTTTAGCATGATCAATCTTTTGCCTTAACATCATTTGCAGAAGTAAATTGGCTGCAACTGCATGTGTACATTTTTGCTACTAATATTTATGTTGGTTTACATTACTTTCCTCATTTGTACAATATTACATCCAAAATAAGTTTCCTCTCTTGCAATTGAAAGATTGAAAAATAGTTTTATCACATCATCATTTACTACTCTGTTCAAAACATCTACATGCAATCTGTCAAATATTTTTGTTTTCTAATTATTTTCAGTTTTTGCTACTGGCGAATCTTTGAGCGTAAGACCTTCCAAAGTAGTCGCAGGTCATGAACCAGAAAAGACCAATGAATTCTTACAGTTGATAGGAAAGGCCTGTTTAAAAAAGGTAGACCCTATTGGAATGTTAGTATGATTATCATTTAAAAAGTTGTTTTTTGTGTAAGTAAATAAAATGGTTTTTTCAAGTTCTTCTCATTTAAATATTCTGTAAATATGTTCAAAACCAGCTTTGTTGCTTTTTAGTGTTGTAGTTTTTCCACTTATTTTTTGCTTAAAAGCTTTTGCTTATCGTTCTTAGAAACTGTGGTAAACATCGTTTTGATTTTTTTTCATCGGCTTTTAATGGCGCCCATATTTGTAGAAACTATTAACTGTAGGAATGACATCATACGTACAGATATGGAGAATTATCTTCAGGTAGTTGACCAATCACAGCCGAGAATGCTCACATAGTGAATAATAATACTATTAATAGGCGTTATTTGTTTAGAAATTAATGTTAAAACACTCTCCAAGAAAACGTCATGTTGCAAACTCAAGTTGAGTTTACAAGATGTTGTTTTTTGGAGTGTGTTTTATCATTTATTTCTTCAAATTGTTGGCTGGACTAGGCTTTTTTTATTTGTATAGTCATGCCATAATTAAGGGTATTTGCATATTGGGCCTTAAGTTAACAATATCAGAAAACAATTACTGTTATCCAGGCTGCAAAGAAGGACAATTGTGCCACTGAGATTTATTAAGTGACAAGTTTTAGTGCCTCTTGGCTGTTAGGCAGAAAACAAAAAATAGTAGCACATTAAACTTATTTGGTACATTTCCACCAGGGGAGGATTATTTAGGGTGTGTGTGGGGATTTCTGGCATCCACAAGAAAAATTCTAAAAAGGTATTTACATATTGTAGACTTTTACGTATTAAAATTATATCAGACGCTAGGGAATTGTACAGTAAGACTGACATTTTCTATCATTTCAAAGTCAATTACATATTTTTTACAGCACAATTTACAATTGAGTTACTACCATGTGCATTTTCAATGAAATGTTAAAATTGAAACAAATTAATACACACAAAGTAAACTGATACTTCATCATGTCAACTCCATTTGATCTTTTAGTTTTTTGTTCCTTGTTTGTCATGTTTACAAGTAACTGTTGTATTTGTGTTTTACTCGTTGTTGGCAATATTTTGATACATAATTTATGAAGCTTTGTTGATTATGATTGTATGGTATAGCTACATATGTATACATCTAGGATTCATAATTAACTTAACATTATAAGAAATTCTCGAAAAGCTAATAACACTTTCATTATGCAAGGTTCACTCATCTTTAAACCTACAAATCTGCAATAGCCTGAGGCCTTGGCACCGTTAGCTATGATAACAATGTATCCCCTTTGAGAATTCTGCACCCTTCCTGTCAATGAGTGTTGATCTGCACCTGATATACCCCCACAGTCTGCCACTGGGTTAATATTTTCGAGCCTACCTCTAGATCTTGATGAAAACAGATGTACTCCGCAGTCTGGGCTGTTATATTTTTTCACTGTTTGTCGTAGAGTTCCTAAGGCATATATACTAAGTATGTCTTATGTCATGTATGTGATTATTCTTTTCATAATTGCTATACTCTGTTAACTTTAATAAGGAAAAAATAACAAGTACGTAAAATACTGCTTCAAAAAATCCTAGTCACCCGAAGAGATGCATTTTTCAGTCAACTTCAACATATTATTTCATTTTTTGTATTTTAAGCTTATTGTCGCCCCACCAGCCAACACATCGTTGTACAATATATAATCAACGTACAATCTTATAAAGTGCAATGTTTAATACGTAATTAATGTGCTTGATCGTCATTTTGGATGCAAAATGTAGTCAAAATCAATTGGTGAACTTTCTTGTTGATCTTGCTTACGTGCGAGTAATTTTTTTAGATAATAGATACGTGTTGTTGGTAAGAATTTATATATCTTTAAATTGTTTAATTTTTAGCTTGATAGTAAGGACTCTGTGAAAAAAGTGCTGGCGGGAGAAAAGCCTGGCGTAGGATCAACAATGTAAGTGAAATACGTACTTTAACTGCTTATTCGCTCGGTCTACCATGACTTGTATACGTCATTATTTTCATTACATAAGAACAGTTCGCTTATTACTAAATCTTTTCCACTTACTGTTATGATTATTTTCACAAGATAGAAAGATTTTCTTCTTTCTTCGTTATTCTGTTTTTGTTGTTACAAAGTATTTGTTAATTTATGTGTCAGTAAAAAGAAGGAGTCGAAATCAGGAAAAGAAAGAGTGAGTGAAAAAGAAAACCGAGTCAAAGAATCAGAGAGCAAAAAAGATAAAATTAACGAGGTGAACTTTTATGACTTTTAACATGTCTTTTTATAACATGCGTTTGTTACAATCCTTACAAAGGAACGAATGCTCAACGCCATGAATCAATCAGCTCAAAAATGAAATGTATTCAAATTTCATCACGATATCAAAAAGACAGTTTTACAGAAGGAAATTAAACATTGCCTTTTCCCAAACATCTTTTATTACTTAAAATTACATAGGATGATGGTAGAAAGAGGAAGTCGAGTTCTGGTCGTTTAAACAGTAGTGACACGAGAATACGTAGTGAGGCCGTGTCCGACGGTAAGAATCACGTGGAATCAAAGGAAAGTTTCAGAGGTCGATCAAAAGAAAGAGATCGAAAAAAAGAAAGAAGCAGTAACAAACAAGATCTTCTCAAAGAACAGGTACGGAATTCTTTATAGACATCGCAAGTACCCAGAGCACAGAGCTGTTGTCAATTCAGGGGCTGAAGCTATTTGAAAAATTTTTATCCGAAAGTGGATTTCTCAACAAGTTTGGGTGGCTGCAGCCCCCCCCCCTGCTCGTACGTCTATGTTCCGTAGTATCGTGCACAAGCATAAATCGTTTTCAATAGTTGTTTCCATTACTCTGTGGTTGTATGTTATATGCGCTCCTACTAAACACTGCCCGTGACTGCCCGGGAAAATGAAATGATTGCTCGTTGATAAATAACAACATAATTTCGTTCTTTTTTTTGTATATGTGTCCAAACATCCAAACATAAAACAATTCTGTGGTATATATGTATAATCACAACGTTTAGCCTCGAAATTGTCTTTGATGAGAAGAAACATTCTTCGTAAAAATAATGTCGTGATTTGACATGAAATGTCGTATTGTACATAAGTGCCAATTATAAGTTTTTAGATTTGACAATATTTATCACATTAAAGGACGTTATTATGTACGACATTTATTGCTGGGTCTAACGTACGTATAATGTTTTGTTGTATGGTGTATTTATCGAATGTGTTCATATCTTCAAGGTCGCAGCTATAGCAGTTTCCAGCTACGTATAATAAGTATTTGAAAAGATGCATGGTAATAATCCATGCTAAACATAGCTAACTACTAAACAACATATTTCTTTTAAACAGGCACATGAAGTAAACGAAGAAAACAGTGCAAATAAAATTGAAAATGACTCTACTGATGCAGTGGATGGTGAGGTTGATTCACAAAATAGAAGTATTCCACGTCCTTCGTCTGCCAAAGGCCAAAGACGAAGACCAAATGGTGATGGTATGGAAGTATAGTATAAGTTATATAAAATAATGATTACGTACAACGTGTCTGTGTGATCACTAGAAATTAATGAATGTGTTATTGTTCATGTTGCTGACGTACTCTTTTTATCGCGCAATCTGAATGCAACTTCTATTTACGTATAGGAACTGCTTATGTGTTTTTCGTCTTGATATGTGATTATGTCATTTGCCAAAATGAGATATAATTTATGTTGAGATCACTAGCGAAGCTTATACACACGTAGCTATGTAATATCTTGATTAGCTACAGTACCGCTCACGTATATCTTAACACTTTTTTGCGTATCATACGGTAGGATACAAATATAATGTGCGTATATATGCGTAGCAAATACACTGATTTTGTACGTATGCGCATGCATCATTCAAGCTTTTTATACTTGAAGTTGTTACCAGGGTTGGCATATTTATCCAGTTATGAGTGAGATAAATATGTCTGGTAACTGCTAATAAAAAACTGGTAAATATGTCAGGTAATAAAAACTCTGGTGACTACTTCACATATAAATAACTTGAATGATGCATGCGCATACGTACATTTGCTACGAGTATCATACGTACATTATATTTGTATCCTACGCGTACCATACGCGTATCTTTTAACTATAAATATCCAATGTTCACGGATAGATAGACGGACATTTGTTCGAGTAAGACATCGTGGTTGGCCTGCGAACAGATCAAAGCTACAGTACCGCTCGCGTATTTGTTAACATACAGTACGCGTATGAAACGCGTATTATACGAAAAACATACGCGTGTGATACTAGAACGATACGCGTATCATACGAGAATGATACATGTATGATACGAAAAGGATACGCGTATGATACGTGTATGATACGAGAGCGATACGCGTATGATACGAGAGCGATACGCGTATGATACGAGAATGATACGCGTATGATACGAGAACGATACGCGTATGATACGAGAGCGATACGCGTATGATACGAGAGCGATACGCGTATGATACGAGAATGATACGCGTATGATACGAGAGCGATACGCGTATGATACGAGAGCGATACGCGTATGATACGAGAGCGATACGCGTATGATACGAGAGCGATACGCGTATGATACGAGAATGATACGCGTATGATACGAGAGCGATACGCGTATGATACGAGAGCGATACGCGTATGATACGAGAGCGATACGCGTATGATACGAGAGCGATACGCATATGATACGAGAGCGATACGCGTATGATACGAGAATGATACGCGTATGATACGAGAGCGATACGCGTATGATACGAAAGCGATACGCGTATGATACGAGAGCGATACGCGTATGATACGAGAATGATACGCGTATGATACGAGAGCGATACGCGTATGATACGAGAGCGATACGCGTATGATGAGAGCGATACGCGTATGATACGACGCGTATGATACGCGACACGCGTATGATACAAGAGCGATACGCGTATGATACGAGAGCGATACGCGTATGATACGAGAATGATACGCGTATGATACGAGAGCGATACGCGTATGATACGCAAAATTATGTTAACAAATACGCGAGCGGTACTGTACCTGTTTTGCAGTTTGAAGCTTTGTGCATGTTGCTGGTAGGATTTCCTGTTTTTGCGACATATTTATTTTGTGTTTTTATTTAGATGAATCAGAGGAGCAAATACCGTTGAAAAATAACGATGAAATAAATGGTGTACTTGATTCCAAAGACGTTCCTAACGAAGAACCTGAATTGCCAAAAACGAAGTACGTAAACATCACATACCAAGATGTTCTTCTTACTTCAAATGCATGCGTATAATGCAATTTAATTTTGTTGATTACAATTCCTTTTTGCTGGTTAAACTTCGCTAACCTTTAATTGTTAGTGACTTGTAGTAGTTATTTAGAAGAACTATAGCTGTTCTTAATTATTGTTGGCTTGCAATTTTTTTGATGGCAAAAATTGAGACAACACGTGTATTGATGATTGCTATAAGAAAGTATAGTGATGAACACTGTTGTAATGAACCAATTTTTTGTACTGTGCGAAGAATAAGCCGTACGCACAGATGCTATCATTTATAAGAGTAGGGTAATAAATATTTTCTTCAACTCGCATGAAATATTAGACTTGTTAACTTCAAATTACTTACTCGTCATAGTTTCTTCCTCTTGTATTCCCCCCCGACTAATGTTGAAAGTTTGCCTAACTTCACATTTTTTCCTGTTGGGGGTGGGGTGGGGTGGCTCCTATGCCTATGTAGGGAGGCACCTGCTGTTATGATCTCTGAAATTTTCGACAAAAAACTATTATTATATAACTATAATAACTATTAACTATAATAACTATTATTATTATTTTATATTTAACCAAAAAACTATTGTTGACCCTAAGAATTATTGTTTCTTATCAGCTAATGTCAAAAATCACATTGACAAATCAGTCAACGACCAAAGAGCTATTTTGTGAGCAAATGTCCTTTACTTTTTTCTAAATTTTTCATTCATGGGAAAGTTGTGTCGTGTTGACCATATTATGTAGACAGTAAAGTAATGAATTAAATACAGAAGCATATATAACGTTTAGTTGTAACTATGCTAGTGAAAAGTGTTAGCTGTACGAAACTTATCCCTTTCATGCAAAACAATCACGTGAAAATGACTGGTTGGGGGGTTGCCCTAATTTGGCAAGGATGTTGCATATAGCGACTTAGTAGGGGGGTTTTCCAGGAAGGTGTGTATTGTGTTAAGGTTGCATACACTAATAACGAAATCATTGTAGAGTTGAATTGCACAATAATATATCAAAGTCATAGTAAGTTGTATCTACTGTGGATTTTACTTTTTATGGAAGCGAAGGAATTCAGCTTATTTAGTTGAATTGAAACTACGTTCACCTGTATGTTCAAATTGAAAAGATTTTCATTGATTAAGACATACATTTGATGGTTTAAGGCGAAAATTAGCCAGACCGAGTAGTGCGCGTCCTGCACCACCGCGTAAAAAACGACAATCTGAAGAACAAGATGAAAGTTTAGACAAGTGAGTTGAACTATAAAACATGACGTGTAGCATTGGGGGTTTTTTTCTGGCTTTTTACTGTTGTTATTTTATTTGCTTCCTTTAATTTAGAGTCGCTTCATCATCCCAAGTTATCAATGTTATTGTGGACAACAATAAGGATGATGACGGAGATGATACGTTCTTAGTTGAAGAGGCTCCAGATGTTTCACATGATGTACTCCATGTAAGTATTAAATGTGAGGTATCCAGTCTGAGGTTGCTCGTAATACAGACGCGTTATGCTTATCATTTTGACGGGAAACGTGGCGTGACGTGCATATACTTCTTAATACTCCTGGATGAGCTTTGATTAGCTTGAAAAACATATATTTCTCACGTGATTCTTGTATTGTAAGAAGTCTAGTTTTTTGGAAGAATGGCTCTCACACATGCCAAGAAATTTGTTAGAATCGTAAATTTGCCTGATTTTATTTTTATATTTTTGGGTATTAATATTATCATGTTATTTCCATCGTACATTGTATGAAATTCTAACAGTACAACACAATGTTTTATGGCATTCGTTTTCAGACAATTTGTATTCTAGGGCTGATATTTGAGCATGGTGTTTTCTGATGAAAAGATCCTTAGTAATGTGTGTAAATTCTTCTTTCTTGCACTTAGAATGAAGACGAGGAACCGATGGTAAATGAAAAGGAAGATGAACACGGTATGTAGAAATACGGTATGTTTTTTTGGTTAATGCCACAGGCATGCTCGACAAATTTCAAGGAAATCCTTATTTTTAAGTTTTATTTGACCCTCCTACAGTTATTTTATTTAAATGAAGTCATTTTCAAAAGTTTAAAGTAATTGTTCTGTCTTTAACAACTGTGCCATAGTAAATATAATTACGTAAAGGAAGCTACAAATTCGCTTGAATGTGTTTAGTGTAGCGAGCGTTGTGTTTTTAAAATATACATACGTGGTGTGCTTGCACTATCTTTGCACTCATATCAAAACAGGCGTTTAAACTTCGTGAGTTTCGTAAAAAAGAGTTTCGCATGACTTTGTAGGTGCTCTTGTCAAGAAAATGTTGGAAACCAAAAAGGAATTGGAAAATGACAAACATTCTAAAGCGGAAACTACGGTAAAACCTGTTACATTACGTCATTGTTTGTATGTACGTACGATTCATTGAACTGAATGCGGAAGATTGAAAAGACATCTCCCGTTAAACTTTTCAGCCAAATTGAACTAATCCTAATTTTTTATCCACGGTCATAAAGTAGATGAAAGCGATTAGTATAATCGCTACATAAAATTGTCGGCTGGAAGTGGATTTTGGTATAAAGCGATTTGCTTTACTAGAACATGGTACTTTGGTTCATACAGATATTCGTAGCCTTGTATGTTTATCTAAAGGTTGCATTTGATTTAGTATAAAGGTGGTTTGCTGGGTTCTATCATTTCTAGAAATGCGTTTATTGTGAATTGCAGTGGAGACAAGTGAGTTTGTTGTAAAACATTCTCTGTTTTAAAATCATTCGATCTACAAGGCAAGAGATGTGATGTGGTGAACAAAATATAAGAACGTTATGTTAGATGATTGTTGCCATTGGCTGTAGGCAAATGGAATTTAATACTATTTCGAAAAATGGTGCGGTTCGAAGGGGCTTAACAATTTTTAAGTAGCGTAATTTCCATTGATGTAATTTTAGTCGAGACCAGTAATCAGTGATGCTCATCGTCGAAAGCAGCGCGAGCATGCACAAAAAGAGGTACGTAAAGAAGCGGAAATTGTCGTTCTCCTACATTTGTATATTTTGACACGTTGTGAGCGATGAGACCTTGACAGCTTCATACATGTCTCTATAGATTGAAAAATTACGTGAAAGTATTCAAACGTTGTGTCGTAGTGCCAATCCATTAGGTAAAATTATGGATTACATCCAGGTAAAATGGCTAATGTAAACTGTCAACAATTTGTCAAACTTTTTCTTTCTAAATGTTTGCTTTCGTTTTTCTTCTTTTTATTCATAATTCGTATTTGTATTCTTTGCTTGGTTTTCGTTCAACCTGTTATGTTCCATTCCAGGAAGATATGGATAGCATGCAAAAAGAATTAGAAATGTGGAAGGAAGAAAATAAAGAACATCAAATAGCTTTAAGAAGAGAGCAAAGGTTAGAAGTTTATTCGTTCTCGGATTGTTGTTAGACGCTCAACGATAGCTAAATGCTTAATAACCATTAACTGTTTAGAAATTTAGTTAGAAAAGCCAATTCTGCTTATGAAAAAGAAAAATTTGTCGTGATGAAGCATTTCTCAACGTGATACGTTTTTACTTAAATGAAGTAGATGATTAAGTCATTGCAACTTATCCCTGCAAAACAAATTACTTTGTGTGTAGATGTACTGTAAACAGTTAACTGTTAAACAGTTAACATGATCCAGAATTCCTTCGTAGCTATATTCTTCTTTGTTATGGGGAATTTTAAAAATTTTATATTTTCTCACTAAAACATCTTGTTTTATTGATTTTCTAGCAAAAATATCATGCTCTATTGACTGTTTGAATATGTGTTTGATTCATAAGGCAAAGATGTTGAATATTATCTTTTATTTTATCCATATGTTTTAGTATTACCGAACGCGAAGTTGAGCCTTTAAAAGTGTATTTATTTGAAATGGAAGCCGAGGTAAACGAAATGGTAAGTTGTACAATATGTGTGACAAGTCCATAGTTTGATTGTGTATAGAGGGAGGCCAGTTTTTATTAATATAAGTAGCTTAAGATATTGTGGAGAGTAAAAAGTAATGTAATCCGTCTTTCTTCCCGGTTCAACCTTATTGCCCTTCCCTCCCAATTTGTACAATGATCTCATCTTTTCAAATTGGAAGTTTTTCAGCCCTTTGGGAACAAGCCCCTCTCTCTCCCTCCTCTTATTTACGCTTTTGGCTGTTCCCATAAAAGAGGCATGAGAGAGGCATGGTTCGAAGAATTAATCTTAGATTCTTCATTAAAATGTTGCTTGAGTTGCAAACAACGGGAAACAACATCATATTTTTAGCTTTAAGAAATACCGCGCTTTTTATTGCCGTGCATCTGATGTATCAGTTTCATATATTTTTACTTCGATGAGTTTTGAAAGCATATTTTTTAATGAAAAACGAATAAGTTTTTCAGTTGACGAAAATCTCAGAAAAATTCTCTCGTTTCACTTTTTATAGTTTGAAAAAATCGGCACAGTGAAATGTAATATTCTTCGAAACGAGGAGAAAATTGAGCAGTTGCTCAGTGGAGTGGCAGTCTAAAGAGTAATAGTTATAACATACTGTTGCATAAATAAATATGTTCAATTCCTAATTTCACTCGACTGAATTAATATCATATGTAAAGCTGAATATGCTTGTTATTCTCAAATTTCCACTTTGTGATAATTGCATACTTGTACATATATTTAGATATGACTCACTTGAGAATTGCTCGTTTATTATTGTTGTACAGTTAATAAATTGTTGAAAATTTTGTTGAAACAACCGAATAATTTTGTTTTGTTAACTTACTTTTCTCGCAAAGAACAACTTTAAAAGAAACATACTCATAACAAAAGGTCCACGTTTAACTCAATATTTGAGAAACAAACCAGACAATTTTTACTCAGTAATATTTCGAATTTATTGTGATAAAATTTCGTGTCTTAAGCACCTTAACTATTTTAACTATTGAGCACTATTTTAGTGAGAATTTAACAAACAAAAATAGACTTCTATGTCCATGACGCTATCAACGATTGCTAATCATGGCGTCATGAGATGTTGAACGTTGAAACAACAGTATCTATTTTAAAAAAAACTTTTCGTGTTTTAATTATCATAATTTCAGGTGTTTCAATAATGCGTCCTTCATTTATATTCACCTTTGACGGAATCACCTTTTTTCTCGTAACGTCTCTTGAAAGAACCGTGATTGTTACAAAAGTTACACGTTCGTTCGTGTAGGTAAGGTTATTGGTTATTTCAAAAATGAAAGTTGTTTACTAAATTTTCTACAACTTTATGCAAACCGAGGTAAGCTGGAAAATTGGAGAGATGATCAGTGCAATCAGATTAATTTAATTTGGTGAATGACAAAGTTGCTGATGCTTGTGATCTTGTCAGTTATGATTTAATCACCATGACCAAGTCCCAAAAGCTTCTTAATCAATCCCAAATATTTTGTAGATCATTATTAATCTCGTGTTTTTGCCAAAATTTTAAATTAATTGGATTTTTTACGGAGCTTTTTTTCTCAAAGTGTATGGGCGTGTATTAGCAACTTACAAGAGGAAAGAATTATTCTCTATTCTCATGTCTACTTGTAATGTACATGTTATATATATACATTACATACTTGACCAGAAGGCTGCCCTTTCCCAAAAATTTTACTGCTATTTTTCATTTTTTTAATGTGTCGTCATACCCACAACTTACTCTCAAATTTGACGGTCAATGGACAATACCCACCTCCCCCCCCCCCGAACAAAAAAATTATGATTTCGATCCCTAAAATGGCAAACCAGCAGGTCGTTTTTTACTCCCACAATGTTAATGGCACTGCATTTAAATGTTAGTTGTGTTAAATTTTCGTAAGTTCTTAATAACATCCGTAGGGTGTAGGATATAATATTGATTTTAATGAGGAACAAATAATTAAGTATGACGAGCATGGACATTGTAAAACAACCTTGAGTCTTCACGTAATATGACTTGTGTCGTACGTACTTACATGCAATGCTGTATTGTTTATATGTTTTCGTTTGATGTTCATATCTCAACAAGTTGTGAATCTTAAAAGAAGATGTTTTGCAAACATTGAACAACAAGATGCATAATTAAATGTAGATATGATCTTCGCACATTGTTGGACAATTTAAGCAAAATTGTCTCATGAACCTGAAAAATTCAGGTGACTCAACGGGATTCGAACCCATGACCTCTGCGGTGCCGGTGCAGTGCTCTGACCAACTGAGCTATGAAGTCACACAGTGGTGAGCAGGTCAATTTTGTTGGGCTGATGTTTTTCTCGTGAAAGGAATGTCATATGAAAGAATGTTTCATGCAGTGCGGTGTCGGGATTTGTTTGCTCAACACAGAAAATCACTCACACAGTTTCGTTTTAACAATATTTATTGTCCCTCTCGCTTGAAACAATTACAAATGTGCTATCAACAGCTCTAACATGCTGTCCCCCTTTTTTTCTCTACAAGTGTTCTTGTTAACACTACCGGTACGAACCGGCCATTTCCGACTTTGGTCTCGCGCGACCCACGCGTTAACTACACTGTTTATACTTTCCGACACCCTCCCCCCATATGTCTCGCCAGTGACAAATGTCACTAACTACTATCCTCAAAGTTTGAGACTTCCTGCATCCTCTCTCTTGCCACTACTGCTGCGTTTCTTCTAGGCCGGAATTCTTTTGCGTCTGGATCCAGGGTATTGTTTTCTGTGGCTACTTTTGCATCTTCCACTCTATGTAGTTCTAATGGGAATAGATGCTGTGGTGCTCGGTCAATATGCGTTTTCCGTGTTTTAATCTTTGCTCCTCGAACAACTCCATCCCTTCCCTCATACAGTTCCTCTACGATACCTACACTCCATTTTCCTTGATTTCTTTCTTCTCCTTTTATTAGCACTACGTCACCCACTTCTGGAGATTTTCCCATTTTTCCCTGTTTCAGGTTATGTCTCTCTCTTAATCATCTTAGATACTCCCCCGTCCACCTCTTCCACATGGCTTTCTTACATCGCTGAATATGTTTTGCTCTTTTCCTGAACTCCTCTTCTTCACTTGTTTCATCATTTTCAATCACTGAGACGGACGGTTGGCCAGTTATCATGGCATTTGGTGTAAGAATTGGCAATTCGTGGTCGTCTTCCACATACGCTAGAGGTCTATTGTTTAGACATATCTCCACATCAAGGATTACCCCTTCCATTCTTTCCATGTGAGGCTTGATCGACCAACTACCTTATAAAATGCTTGCTTCACCAATCCTATCAGTCTTTCATACTGTCCACCCCACCAAGGGGCCTTGCTTAGGTTGAATTGCCACTTAATATTGTTCTTGGCAAGATAGTCATGAACTTGTTCATCTTTTGAGATTTTTCGCACACGTTTGGCTGCGGCCACAAAGGTCTTGGCATTATCTGAGTACACCTTATCTGGCTTGCCACGTCTAGCAACTAACTTCTTGAAGCTATGCATGAATTCTTCTGTTGACATATCTGGTAGCATCTCCAATTGAACCGCTCTTGTTAGGCTGCATCCCACGAGGAGTAGGTACGCTTTTCCTTCTTTACCTGCTCGTTTCTTATAGATGAACGGACCTGCGTAATCCACACCTATGACTTGGAATGGTCGTGATCCTTCTGTGCGGTCCTTTGGGAGGTTGCCAGTGGGTGGTTTGGCGAATGCACTCGCTTGGAACCTCTTGCAACCGTTGCATCTGCTTCTGACCTTTTTTGTGAGTTGTCGAAGACGTGGTATCCAGTAATTTTCCCTCACCGCAGTCATTGTCAGACTGACTCCCCCATGGAGAGTGCGTAAATGTTCGTGCATGACCAACTTCTTTGCTAATTCGGACTCTGGTGGAATGTAGATCGGGCATTCTCCTTGCATCCTTCCGCGACATTCCAGCACTCCTTCCTCATTTTTCTTAAGGTTTAAGCGTTGAGATTCTTCTCTCATCTGATCCGAGTTTTCAAAGCGCAGCTGTTCTCTTTTCAGCCACCAGAGAACTTGTGCTTGTAGCTCGTTAGTCGTGAGTGGACCCCATCGACGTTGCTGTTTTTTCTTGAGGTTATACACGAACCTGAACACCCATGCTGTTATTCTCATGGTTTTCCAATAGGGGTATTTCGCCAAGATTGCTGAAAAGCTGTCCTCCTCTAGTTGAACTGCAGGCATGAAGACTTCTTTGCATTTCTTTACTTCCGCTTCCGTCTCAACTATAACTTCTATGGTTACTTCCCTTGGCTATTTTTCAGGGTCGGGAAGCCATTTTGGTCCTTCGAGCCATTTTTCAGACAACTGATCTCCGTTACAGCCTCGGCTTCCAATATCGGCGGGATTATCTTTTGTTCCCACGTGCTTCCATGAAATGTAATTCTTTTCTCTAATCACCTTTACCCGATTTGCTACGAATTGCTTGTAATTTCCACTTCCATTTATCCAGTATAAGGCAACCATGCTGTCAAGCCATCCAACACAATGCCTTACAGGCAACCCTTCAAGAACGGATCGCACGTTGTCCATCAGCCTTGTCGCCATTTGAGCAGAGACTAACTCAAGTCTTGGAATGGTCAACCCTTTCTTTGCCAATCTTGATTTAGCTGTTATGAGTCCTTGACCGATACCCTTGCCTTGTAGGATAACTGCATACACGGCTGCTGACGTACCTTGACCACTAGCATCTCCAAATGCGTGCAAATCTATGGCTTGTATCCTTTCTAACTCCTGGGCCCTTCAATTATACTTGGTACTCTAGTACACCAGTTGCGCCAACGGTGCATCAGGTTATCAGAAAGTTGTTCGTCCCAGGGTAAATTAATTAGCGAATTACACTAATTGGCGAAACTAAACCGAGAGAATCAAAGATTGAAGCAATCTCGCTAAGTACTATCCGTTTTGTTACGTTTTCTTCGTTGAATTTTTCGGGGAAATTGACACCGATTGTATCTTTGCTTTTGTTCCAAGGCATGCCCAATAGTTTTGTCTCATTTTCTCTAACGCCCAGTCGTTGGTTAGCGTAACTTTGATCGACCGCTGCATCACTGACCACTGTCTCGCTCGCTTCCAATTCTTTAAGATTTGAGTGCCATTTGTGCAGAGTGAATTTAGCTCTATCAAAGATTTTGATTGCGGTTCCTTTCAACTGTTGTACTTCCTCCACCATGCACCCTCCCGTAAGCAGGTCATCAACGTACAAGCTATCTCTTATCTCAGCTACTTCTTTTGGAAACTCCTGTTCTTGACTGTTGAGATGTTGATTGAGTGTCTCAGCTAAAAGAAACGGTGATTGATTTAATCCAAACAGAGCTCGCGTAAATCGGTAAACTTCGACTTGCTTGGGGTCTTCTTTGCTCAACCAATGAAACCGTAAGACATCTCGGTCCTTTTGCTTTATCCTGATCTGTAAGAACGCTTGCTTTAAATCCGCTGAAAGTGCTACAGGCTTGAACCAATTGCTCACAAGAACATTCCACAAGAGATTCTGTAATATCGGCCCTGTTTCCAAACAGTCGTTCAATGATGGCGAGTCTTCACTTTCCTTGGCTGAGACATCATAAACCACGCGAACTTTAGTACTTTCTGCTGATTCTCTGACTACCGGTTTGTGTGGGAGGTAGAATTCACGTCCCTTTGCTTCATGTGTCACCTTCTCAATGATTCCTTGTTCTTCCTGTTCTTTCATTATCTGCTGGTACTGTTCAAAGAGTCTTGGCTTTTTCTCAAGCCTTTTGACTAATTTGCCAAGCCTCGCAAGGCTCCCTGCCTTATTACTTGGTAGACTGCTGGTGGTTGGCTTATATAAAAGCCCTGTCTCGTACCATCCTTCTGGACTTTGGATTAACTGATCCTTAAAATCCTGGTAGATTGTTTCATCTCCATTTGACTGATCTTCCAAACCAAGCACGTCTAGGTCGCATAATTTCCTGTAATCTTCCATAGAAGACCTTGCAAACAATGATTTCGTGAGATCCTCCTCAGTTCCTGGTGATAACAACGTCCAACCAAATTTAGTGAGTTCAGCTACTGGCACCAGGTTCACCAACGCAGGGCTCCGTAGCAGTTTTGATCTTAGCATAATCACTCGCACCCAGAATTAAATGGACAGGAAGTTGAGGTTTTGCATCAGTATCATCCATTTTGACCTTCTTGAGATGATCAAACTTACTTAAAACTTCTTCATATTTAGGATTGTCAACGAGGAGTAAGTTATTCCGGTCGACCTTTGTTACTTCAGTTTTGAGCTTGTGTTTCTCGTCTAAGTCACTGATTGTTACTTCGTGTACCTCGATTATACGGCTTGTAGACTGCATCATCATTTCTATCCTTTTGAACACCTTCCGCACCGGTCGCTTATTCAATCTCTCCACCAGCGCTCCTGAAGCGTACGAGCTCCCAGCCCCTGTGTCTAGAAGTGCTCTGCAAATAATTCCGTCAACTTTGACCAGAACGATTGGATATATCACCTTGTTCTCCCCCTTTGCTACCAGCATTTGTTCGGTTTGTGTTTTAACGCCTTCTTGCTCGTTTGGTCTTTTGTCGCAGATGGATGAGTGATGCCTTCTTTTGCAATGTTGGCATGTTTGTTGGCTACGACATTCAGACGCCTTGTGTCGTGGACCCATACAGTTAAAGCACAGTTTCTTTTCTCCAAGAATTCTTCTACGATCACTAACACTGACCACCTTTTTACACTCAGCAGATCGATGACTAGTATCATTGCAATATACACACCCCTTTATTCTCGACTCTTGTTGACGAACTTGAAAGCTCCTTGATTTGCTATGCCTGTCCTGAGAGCCATCATCTTGTTTGACTGGATTTCTCACCGTCCACTTTCTTAGCGCTTCGATGAACTCCGGAAACCTCCATTCTTGCCAGTCGTCATCGATTCTCACAAGATCGCTTCGAATTCCTTCTAGTTTGTCAATTGTCATTCTGACATAGCCTGATACTTCCTTCAGTTTCCCAAGTGTCTCGAGAGATTGTACGCTTGTTAGTAGTGTTTCATAAAATGCATGGATTTTTCCAGGCTTAGTTCCTTGAATGTTGGGCAGGTTGATGATGTTTTGAACATAAGCGTTGATGATTTCGCTGGTTTTGCCGTATTTAGTCGTCAAAATGTTCTTAGCTCGTTCATATCCCTCTGATGTGAATGGTAATCCATCGATACATGACAGCACCTTTGGTTCGACAAGCTCATTTAAGTATGAAAATTTGGTTATACTGGAGACATCCGAATTGTCAATTTCAGCAGTAAACTGCCCCCAAAATCTAAGCCAGTCCGTATGTTGTCCGGTAAACTTGGTAATAACCAGTTTCGGTAATTTTGTCGTCAATTTGGTGCCGCCATTTTTTCCGCTTGTGGACTTTTCTCGATTTTCAGACAAGGCCTTTTCGTGCTCCATGCGACGCTCAAATTTAGTTTGTTCTAGTTTCAAATGTTCTTCGCCCTTAACCCGATCTTGTTCGTGTTTCAACTCCCGTATAGCGTTCTCGAATTCTGCCAGTTTCCCTTCAATTTTCTCCGTCCAGTCTCGTACATTGTCTACGTTTTCGCCGCTCTCAAAGTTTAATTCCTGAATCTGCTCTTTTAAAGCGTGTACTTCTTCGGTTTTCCTTCTAAAGTCTTCCTCTGTCTCTCCATTCCTGCCAAGTCATTTTTCCCCAGGATATTTACTGTTTTCTCATTTGTGAACTTCAGGAATTGGATTTTCGTCTCGATCGCTTTTACTAGTTTATCAATGTTAATCTCGTCCCATCGGGGGTGCCACTTGTCGGGATTTGTTTGCCCAACACAGAAAATCACTCACACAGTTTCGTTTTGACAATATTTATTGTCCCTCTCGCTTGAAACAATTACAAATGTGCTATCAACAGCTCTAACATGCTGTCCCCCTTTTTTTCTCTACAAGTTTCTTGTTAACACTACCGGTACGAACCGGCCATTTCCGACTTTGGTCTCGCGCGACCCACGCGTTAACTAAACTGTTTATACTTTCCGACAGCGGTGTTTGAAATTAAATGTAGATATGATCTTCGCACTTTGTTGGACAATTTAAGCAATTGTCTCATGAACCTGAAAAATTCAGGTGACACAACGACATTCTTTCATATGACATTCCTTTCACGAGAAAAACATGAGCCCAACAAAATTGACCTGCTCACCACTGTGTGACTTCATAGCTCAGTTGGTCAGAGCACTGCACCGGCACCGCAGAGGTCATGGGTTCGAATCCCATGGTTTATCAGATAAGAAATTGGGGAAATCACATGCCAAGTTATGATTCAAATTTTTCGCTTACCGTCAAGAAAAAATCTACATGCACAATGTAGTAACTGGGTTTCCCTTCACACTGCAAAAAGTGTTATAGAAGTCTAGTGTTTTTAATCTTTTAGTTCTTGCAAGATGCAATTTTTTTTAGCAGCTGTTTCGTAATTGCAGATATATTAACGTCATTATGATAGATTTGATTAGATCAGGTATTCTTTATTCTTGTCATGACCAGCTTTACTAGATGAATGAATGACGATGAAAGGTCTATAACAATGCAATTCGGAAGTTTCTCATTTTTGGTGTAATAAAAAATAATCCACGCTGAAACGGAAATGAGTCTATGCAACATCCAAGTATATATGACACCGAGACAACGCTGGCTATAGCATTTCAAGAAGGCAACCATTCAGTATTCAGGCACTCAAGAGCGCGTAAATCGACAAAATGATAAAGATAAATTTGTATTTATTGATGGTCCCCATGCTGCTGATATTGAACGTCTTTGCTGCGATTAAGAAGAACAAAACAAAGGTTGGGATATTAAAATGATTTTTTGTTTCATTTTATCCATGACTTTAAAATTTTTGATTTCGGTTTATGTGCAATGTACATTGAAAAAGTTGTTAATATAAATGGCGATAAAATTACTTTTCCATGCATTTATTAATTACCCTTAGTAGGCAATATAACTGTATATGCACATTTTTGAGCGGAAACAAACAAATTGACATTATGTTCATTCGTAGAACCAGAAGTTGTTAATTCAGACAGTTTGAATACAAATTTGATCTTATTTCATAATGAATAAACTCGGGCATTCTCAACAAGTTCTTCATTCACAATAAACTCCACTCTTCATATGAAACTTTTAGACGAATGTCACCAAATTTCAGATTTAAAAATAATTTTTCATTAATGCAATTTTAAAGAATGTTTTATGCAGTGCGGTGTTTGAAATTAAATGAAGATATGATCTTCGCACTTCGCTGGACAATTTAAGCAATTGTCTCAAGAACCTGAAAAATTCAGGTGACTCAACGGGATTCGAACCCATGACCTCTGCGGTGCCGGTGCAGTGCAATTATGCTAGCTATAAGTAGAAGTGCTTGTTAAAACGACTGAATAGCAATTACAATGGTAAAGTTGAACATTTTTCAAATTTATTTCTTTTCAAGCATTTAACTATTAAATGTAAGGGAATGTAGCTTAGCTTAGGTCAGTGAGAATAACACTAAGCTTAGGATCAATGAGAGTAGGTGAATGAGACCATAGACTTAGTCAATAGACTCTATACCTTTGAAAAACAGTTCATTTACATCTAATTTTAAATTTTTAACACAATAAAATATTATTTCACATTTTTGAAGGATCAATGCTCAGCAAGCTGTTGTGTTCCAGGTATACCAGGGGTTCCTGGCATCCCTGGAGCACCTGAAAGAGACGGACTAAAAGGTGACGTGGGATCTCAAGGAGAAAAGGGTGATCATGGTACTTCTGGCGTATCTCCGACAAATGAAATATTTTTTCATAACTGGAAGCAATGTGCATGAAGAAGGTCTGACGGTAAAGATTTTGGATTGATTCAGGTCAGTTTGACTTCACATTTTTCTCAATTTTTATGGCAATGAGTTTACGCTTTTAATGCTAATTTAAGACTTTTACTCGTCAACTTTATTGTATGCAATGAATTTTATGCTTAGAATTGCTCATTCAAGAAAAAGTTCGACAACACCTCACTTCATGTATTTTATGGAGGTAACTTGCGTATTCAACGATGCTCGGCATGTTGCAAACGTTGGTATTTTACATTCAACGGAGTAGAATGTAACAACCCTTACGCAATTGATGGGGTATTTTACATGAAATCTGGAAGCTCACAAGATATCGATTGACATCGTCATATTGAAGGGTATTGTAACAAAATACATAAAGGAAATGTACAAATTGGTTTCTGGGTTGGTAATTGTCCTGGTTTTGGTAATGCAGATGCGCATAGTGGATGGAATTCAGTTTTTCGCATTGTGATAAGAGAAGTGCCTCCGCCACAAGATTGATTTATTTAAGTTCATTATTAAAATTTTTGCCAAACAATAAATTAATTCAATTGTCTACTCTTATGTCATAGTTTTTTCTTTAAGATATTCAACATCCTAAAATTACATTTCGTATTGAGATCGATAATCAGAACATTGCCATAACAAAACAAGAAGAAGTCGTTATAAAAATTTCGAACTTGTTTCGAAATTTCAAAGGTAATGCAATCCCTAACTTTTCTGTTTCTTAAATGACGTTAAACTGTTTGTTGATAAAAATGATGGCTTGGTTGACATGATGTAAAAGTCATAGAACATTTTTTTTCACGGAAATGAGATCACTCATTGGTAACGCGAAATCGAGTCTACTTGCATGTATTAATTTGTAACTTAGCTCGCTAAGTTACAAATTAATAGAGAGATCATATGAGCATGCGTTAAAAAACATCTCCTTATTTAATTTTCTATAGCAATCGAAAAAACAACTGAAAATACAAATTCCGAATCGCTAAATAAACACATACTCGCGATTTTATTATATGCACAAAAATATAACCTATAATTCTATGGCGATTGCTGATTGCCTGCAATCTCGCACGACGACGTTGTCCATTTTAATCCAATAAATTTACGTAGTCCAATTTACGAAAGTGGTAGTGGTATGCCACTGAACTGAATGCTGAGCTAACCACAATACATGTGAAACACGAGTCTACTGCGAATATACTCATGCAGTCATGCAATAGATATCTTAGACATTTTTGTGAAGATAGTTGTACCTTATCAACAATTGACTACTTTATAGGTAGAGGTAGAGCGAGATGGCCGATCTCCCAATGACTGCAATAATAAAAAAATTTTCCACATCTGTCACTTATACCAGTTAATGCTCGATCTTGATGACAGAAGGACAACTACAAATCCACCACCAATCACTCAATTCTGGTTGTAGTATTAATTTGTCTGCGGTCCCATCTTATATTGAAATAAGTATGTGTAGCCATATACAGAGATCTTCGAGTTTTCTATGACAACACTAATTAAATTGAGTCGTAAAGGTCATGCTCCGTAACAACAACTTATAAATACTTACAGGTTGTACAGTGAGTCAGTGAATGCTTATATAACTCTAGAATTTAAGTTTGTGGGAATCATTGTAAGCACAATCTGGTGTCAGAGTTGTCTTGTTTAGAACTATTCAACAAAGAAATTATTGTTGTCTTACATGATATGCGGCGTGATGCAATTTGCCAAGATTTGCTATGATTTAAAATAGTTGAAGTCATGTAACTGTAGATTTGAGGCGTGAATAACGACAGAAACTAACATATGAATTTTATTTTTCTTCATCAATTTTCCACAATATATGAATTTTTGAGTTATTAAATTTGTAAAATCAAAATGTTTCTTCTGAACTCCCTGAAATTTCATCGGTGCTTTGGGTCCGGAGTCATGTCATTGAGACCTTTGACTGTAAATCAGTAAATGTTGCTTATAAACAACGCAATCAATTTCTTACAAGGCACAAAGGCCTGCTACAGACTTGAATTTCTTTGCTGAGTCATAATGGCTTATTTATGTTTCTTTTTTGTTATGCGTGCACCCAGGCACGCAATTTCACTTGGAAATTTGGAATTTAATAAGAATATATAAATTTGTCGGAACTGGAAGTTTACTGCAACATAGAGTGCGTGTTGTTTTGCGAAAATGATGTTCCTATGCTCGATCATTTGTGTCAATTCGTAGACAGTGAATGAGTATTAGATTATCAACGTAGTTCCGTCCACAGCAGTCGCTTCTCAAATCATATCATGAATAATAACTTTTATTGATGTATACCAATGTGCGTTTTGACTTATATCGCTTATTTTCACAACAATAAAGCTGAAAAAAAATATCAAAATGTAATGTAGGAGCATACATAAGCTTATTATGCACTAGGAATGCAGAAACTCTTCAGTTAGTATAGACATTCCATCTTAATTAATTCCGCAAATGGTAACACTAAATGACTGGACTAAGTTAAATAGATATTACATGATCCATAGCATAGAAAAAATGCTATTGGCTAGCTTAAGTCACTTGATAGAATATTATTAGCTAACAGAATAAACAAGCAATGGCTGATCAATTTTGTTGAATATTTGTTATCGAAGACGAATTAAAAATCAATGTTTGAAAACGCAGTTTTTTCATTTTTTGCTTATATAGGTCAACTGCCTAAACTTATAAATGTCTTCATTTGTCCATTCAGATGCAAATTCAGGTAAATATTACAATATATTCCCCCGCCGTTTCGTTTGTAAATTAAAAACACAAAATTTCTGTGTAGTCAATTTCGTGCGTATGTCATCTTAGAGATCATAACTCTCGACCGATGAAATCGCTCAAATTCTTATGGTTATTTTATAATTTTACGTAATAGATACTTAATTGTCTACTGCACGGAATGGAAATATCAATCAAAAAAATGGAAAATAGATAAAGACTTCAACATGACGCACTTCAAATTGGTACAGTAAGTTGAAACACAAGGTTGAAGAAACATATTTAGATATTGTGTCAAAGAAAAAATATGAAACTTATATGTCATTGCGTGGTTCCTAAAATTAAGTGAAAGCCTTGCTTCATTATCCATTCACGCATTAGGTACTCGCTCTGCGCCTGTGTTGCACTTTTGAGTTGAACTAAAAGTTAGCGAATTAATTTTAATCGAGCACAGCGCTCATTTTGACCAAAAGTATTTTTCATCATCTATTCAGGAATGTTGCTGTCGTAATGAATAATGACTTGACATCCGAAATTGGACACTGTACATTATGTCTTAACAAAAATATATAACGATTGTTTGTTTGAATTGCGCATCCTGTGGTAATTTTGCAAAGCAAAACACTGAGGTTGTGAGATGAGCATTGACGTAAAGTGACGCAAGCATGGCATTTTTGAAATAGCGACATAAACACCAGTTTCCTCATTGAACAATATAAAAAAGGCTTTTGCTCGGCTGGGTTTGTCTAAGAAAAATCGTCAATTGTCAAATCCTTGGTTGGGATTGTTTAGTTTTGGAATCAACATCTGCGAACAACTTGTCAAAAATTGTTTAAGAAAAAATGGGACATTCTTTGAAAGCGATAACTTTGTTTTTTTTCTACAATCGGTACTTATTGAAGTCTTCATGTGCAACATCGTAAAACGAAAAGCACCGGATGGAAAGCTTTACGTATTTTCAAAAAGAGTAGGATGTGTGTCCGTACAAAGTGCAAATCCTTGTAGATTGAACTGGAAGTTAAATCCATACACACGCCAAAGTTTATACACAGCAAAATGCTATCATTTTACGTGCAATCAATATCTATAACCGACTTGGTATTTCATCAAAGTGTACAAAGGCTGTAAGAGAAGCCTTATGTTCACAAGTGACACCAAAATGTTCTGAAAAAGACTACAGTCGAGATTATGGGGACGTCACAAGGCTGTGTAGCAATGTTTATTCTCGTTGTCCTTCGGTTGTAAAAAATAGTCTGAGGAGAAACAACTTTTGCAAGAATTTCAAAAGGGCAGACGTTCAAACGGTCAATGTGTCGCCAGCACTACACCAATTGCTGGTGCTTGTCAGCAGCCATTATACAAGGTATATGTGAATAGTTAATTATAAATACAAGTCTTAAATATTTTGATTAATATTTTTTACAAATAATACATATCAGCATTAAAAATCTATGAATCTAATTATAATCTGGTAAATTGTCATTTAAGGAGGCTCCCTGCAGTTGTTATGGAAGGACTGGTGACAATTTGCATGTGCATATTGTACCCATGTCGGGTGGATTTTTTTAAAAAAAAGCATGGTGGCGCTGACTTTATTGTAGATATTTTTCGTTACCCCTTCGTTAAATTTTGTTAAAAGTTCGTGCAGATGTTTATTACAAGAAAAATATAACATACGCAAAATAGAACAAAATCTACAAATAAGTTTTCATGTCCTCAAAAATTATTTATAGAATTTTTCTAATAATAAACATAATATTTCTTGAATAAATAACAATCGTCATGCAAAAAATCAGAAAAATTATCCGAACTGAAAAAAAGATACGGTCAATTCTTTAAAAACTAGACGATAAAAATGTAAAAGAAAATGAGACATGGTTGCTATAACAACGCAAACAGTAATCCTTTTCAGCATCTTTAGACGTTACTGCCATTCTGGAATAAGGCTACCTGAAAAACTCGAATCTCGTGAGAACTGTAAGGAGCCTTCTTAATCAGAGTTTGAAAAGCCGGATAATGCTTTCGAAGATTTGTTGTTAATTTTTTGTCTCTAAGAGAAAAGTGTAAACTCTGTTTATCTTTTTCCGAACCTTTGCTTTGCAAACGAGGAAAAAAAAGAAGTTGAAGTTTTTATTTGAGAGAACAAAAACCATTTTTGGTTTTGATTTTGATATTTCATATGCCCCCTTAATAGTGTTAAAATGACAAGATTCGTGGTTGTTAGCTGCTGGAGTGAATAAAGAATCTTCAGCTTTATTTTTACATTTAAGCATACTTATTGCATTCTCATCATCTTTTAGATCTCATAAGAATGGCTTTCAAAGCCTTTAGTTTGCCGATAAATTTGCAACAGACAGCGTATTTTCGATCGGTGCGTTTCTGCAAAAAATTGTTGTTTCACAGATTTGATTAATTAGCGTTCTCAAACCATGCAGTGAAACAAAATTTCACCCAAATTTGATAAGATGACTTTAGAAACTAGAAATTTTTCAGCGATAATGAATGCCTTTTATTTACTTTCAGATGACGGCAGAGTTCTTTGAAGATTATCAAAAAGCATCTGTTACGGTCCAAACATCTTTGAATACCATTTACAATGTGCGAGATAATAATGGAAAAAGAGTTTTTTCAGATACTTGTGCTTCACAAATTACACAAATTGATTGTGTGCCAATGTACTGTTCGGCAAATGAAACAGAGCTCTTGGTAAATTTAGATAAGAAAGATTGCAACAAGCTTGTCGACTCCTGGTAAGTTATCTCTGTGTATTCTTTGTTTGTTAAATAATAAATGCACATATAAAATTTTCTGCTCCTCATTCTTTTAAAAAAAGCAGCTTGTGGACATATTTTTAACATAAAATTACTCTCTGTATAAATGAAGGTTTTGGTTACAAAACTTTAAGTCAAGGACTCCTTCGTAAGGAAATATCATAAAGTAGTCTTATCGTTGTACGTTGATTGATTGATTGTTAAATCATTTCTCATAAAATTTTTCAGTTTTGACGAACCATCCAGAAGATTGTCGATTTCACCAAGTATTCGCATAGTTTTGAATACTTTAAAAAATCAGCTTCGCTTGAGCTGCAACAAGTATCCTGCATCTTCGTCCGATCTACGGCCTGAACCCCCAAGGATTGGTGAAAAGACACCAACTACAACTGGAAACACACCAAAACAACGTGAAAGCCTTCCAACAGCAAATAGAAACAGAAAAAAAGAGGGTAAAAACACACCAAAGGGAAGTGGAAACACTGTGTACGGAAGGAATGGAATTCTTTCCCTTTTCTTTTTTGCACTCTTGAATGAGATTTTGATGGCTTGAACTTTAGGTGTGACAAAGTATTTATTGACTTTAATTTAATGAACATGTACACTTTTTTGTACAAAATTGTGGCAATGCAATAAATTTAAATGTTTGTCTTTCAACTCATTATATTTTGGTAATTTTTCATGACTCATGCCCGTATTCTAAAAGTTCTCTCACACTCACACTCACTAAAAGCTCACTCAAACTCACACTCACTCTCACTAAAAGCTCACTCACACTCACTCTCACTAAAAGCTCACTCACACTCACTCTCACTAAAAGCTCACTCACACTCACTCTCACTAAAGCTCACTCACACTCACACTCACTAAAAGCTCACTCAAACTCACACTCACTCTCACTAAAAGCTCACTCACACTCACTCACACTAAAAGCTCTTTCACACTCACACTTACACTCACTCTCACTAAAAGCTCACTCAAACTAACACTCACTCTCACTAAAAGCTCATTCAAACATAATGGTTCAAAGCTTAGTAAATTATTTAAGGAACCCTTAAGAAACTGGCAAAGTGCGGCAACAAAATTTTACCAGCATGACAAATATTCCCTAATTCACCGTGACTCCAAGTTACGTTTGTCGCAGTTCCAACGTGTGATGAAAGGTAAAACTATTGGCATCGACGAACAAGCCGATCATCTTAGAAGTGCCCGCATTCAATACAATCGTGACGTTTTAGGCTGACAAAATCTTCTATTATACTGGCAGGCAGACAAAAAAATTATTAAAACTAAAATTATTAAAACTATTATACTGGCAGGCAGACAAAATCTTCCCTTACGAGGCCATCGTGACGACTCAAAGTATTTTCTATCTTCTAATCCTGGGAACTTTCAAGCCTTTTTGAATTTTAGAGTAGACGCGGGTGACGCGAAACTAGAAAAACATTTTGAAAATGCAAGTAAGAATGCAACTTATCGTTCGAAGACAATTCAAAACAAGCTGATAAAGATCTGCGGGGAACAAATCAAAGAAAAGATTGTTTCTGACATCAATTCTAGTCAATGCCCAATTTACTCAGTCCTTGGTGATGAGGCAACAGACTGCAGCAGTATCGAGCAGATGCCAATTGTTGTAAGGTATGTTGACTCAAAGCAAGAAATTAATGAACGATTTATTAAATTTGTTGAGTGTGAAGGAATGACTGGCGAAGCGCTAGCGAAGAATATCGAAGATACTTTAAACGAAGTTGAGCTACTACTTTCCAACTGTCGTGGTCAGTGCTATGATGGTGCCAGTACAATGTCAAGCAAATCAAAGGGAGTTGCTGGTCGTATTTTAAAGAAAAATCCAAAAGCTTTGTATATCCATTGCGCTAGTCATCGATTGAACCTTGTTGTTGCTAAAGCATGTGGTGAGCAAACTGTCAAAAACATGTTGGGGCATGCTCAAAAGATCTTCAGTTTCTTCAGCCCATCCCCCCTACGAATGCAGTGCTTGAGGCAGAATATGGAAAAGTCTGGGTTACGTCGTAAAAAACTAGGAGCTCCATCCACAACGCGTTGGGTTGAACGGATACGTACACTTGATGGATTTGTGGAAGCATTTGTACCTGTTTGTCAAAGTTTAGAGTACATGAAGCTCAATATGAATAATGATTTTGATAATTCAAGTAGGGACGCAGAGGGATATCTTCGTTCCATAAAATCTTTCGAATTTATTGTTAATCTTGTGATTACATCAAATGTTCTGCATCACACAATGTCGTTGACTGTCCAACTGCAGCAAAGGATGATCGATATCGCTGAATCAATTAAACATATAAGTCTTTTGAAGTCACAATTAAAAATTTTACGCAGCTCAGCTGATACAATTCATGACCAATACTACGAAGAAGCAGTGGATTTAGCAAACAGAGTAAACGTTGATGAAAAAATTCCTCGACTTTGCAATGTTCAGACAACTCGTGAAAACTATCCTGCACATACAGCACGTGAATACTACCGCATGAAACTAACCATCCCTCTTCTTGATCACTTGATTGAACAGATGGAATTTCGGTTTTCTTCAGAGGTGTGCGATATTTATCGTGGATTCTATATTATACCTAGTATTTTTCTCAATTGCAAGGACGTTAATTGGAAGGAAGAGTTTATGAAGTTTGCTGTTGCATATAAAGAGGATATGCCACACTTTCGGAAAATACATGCTGAATTAGGATTGTGGGAAACAAATTGGAAAGGGGGCTTTGAGAAAGTTAAGTACGATTCAATTGCCGACACGCTTCGAACTTGTAACAAACTTGCGTTTCCAAATATATTTACAGCACTTAAGATACTCGCTGTTGTGCCAGTCACTACATGTGAGTGTGAAAGATCCGTTTCTGCCCTTCGTCGAATGAAAACTTGGTTACGTAGCACAATGATCAACGAAAGGTTAAATGGATTAGCCCAAATGCATATTAATGATGATATTAAGTGTGATGTCGAAGAAGTGATTAATACCTTTGCTAGACAAAACCCAACGAGGATGCAATTTCTTGATATCCTGGAGGATAAAGAAACAGATGCTTGACGATGAGCTCCATGAGAAATTCTTAATGCTGATAAACAACCTACATTTTCTTTGAGAGTTATCTTGTTTTCAGCCGTTATTGAGAGGACGAAGACCACGTTTAAACATCGATTTTCTTAAACATTTCACCTTTGCTGTGGTTGGAAGAAGACGATCTTTCAACATTGCTTTTATAATTGTTGTCATCTTTGCTGCCGTTAGAAGAAGACCATCTTTGAACATTGCTTTTATTAAACTTTTCATCTTTTTTACCGTTGGAAGAAGACCACCTTTGAACATTGCTTTTATCAATGCTGTTATCTTACAAAAGACGGCTCATGTTATTTTTTCGATAAAATTTACGCTTAAGATTTTTCTGTCACCTTTCCCAAATCGCTGGAAAATGCTTCTCGGATAGTGAAAATTCAAAAATTTTCTGGGGGAGCATGCCCCCAGACCCCCCTAGCGGTGCCTCACGCCTTCGGCGCTCGCAATGCATCGGTCAGCTAAGGAGCTGGATCCGCGCCTGAAGCAAGTTATTATACGGTAAAACGTTTTTAAATCACTTAAAGCTTCTTCGTAAATGTTCAAGATTCATTTATCTGCAGTTATCGAATGTGTATAACAGCATATATTTACTTGAAATTAAGATATTTTTAAACAACAACATTTGAAAACCAATTAAATTAATGTCTCATAATGCAAAACTCTCATTTTGAGCTTCCATTGCTGGCAAGACAGATGTAATTCACAAAGTCACAAACATTTCATTTGGTAATTCCATTTGTGTTGCGAAATCTATTTTAATATAATGTAATGTACATCATGGATCATGGTGCAATGTTAAAGACTAACTGTAATGTCTAATTCTTTCAACACCACAAAGAGAAAAAAGTCGGTTGCTGATTATCGAAAATTAAAGAGAGCTAGACAAGAAGAATTTGCAAAACTTGGGGAGTTTTTCTTGATTACTATGAACCTATACAATATGACCCACCATGCATTTTGTCACAAACAACAGAGGAGTTAGAATTAAAACTCAGGGAAACGCCGAGCATCAGTGAAGTCCTTAAACAAGTGCATGCGCAAGAAAAACCTGATTTGATAGATGTAAACGATCAAGATGAGCAAATTTTCAAATCAATCAAAGGCAATGATTCTGTTGGTGAATGCCCTAAATTTGACAGCTTTGTCAATTCAAATGTACTTAACGAAGGTGAAGGCATCTCAGAATCTGCTGAAAATGAATTGAATCGAAATATTTCTATTGATACGAAAGAAAACACATTTGTTGGTCTTAATCTTAGCATTAGTGAAAAAAGGCGTTTACTTAAAATGAATTCATGCCAACCATCCCAGTTTGTTTTGAAACAAAGGAGGTTAGTACAAGGAGATCGCACTCTTTATTGCTCCCAGCAGGTTTTGTTCCACGATGATGGAACAAAACAAATCCTACTCTCTAGGTGAAGACAGCTTGTTTTGCATACCATGCATTCTGTTTACAGATGTTACGTCTAGGGGAGAAAATATTCGGTCAAATCAAGAAAAAGCTTTTTGCAAACATTGGTTTCTCCAAATGGAAAAAGCAATATATTAGAATTCTGGATCATGAAAAATGCAATTCTTATCTAAACGCAAAAGTTGTAGAAGCTCTTTTCCTTCAAGAAAACTCAATATCGTATCAGTTTCATCACCAGTGGAAAATCGAGTCTGAAAGACGTAAAAAGGAAGTTGTTTTTCACAAAACAGTTTCGAAACGTGTGATATATGTTATTGTGTTTCTTGGAAGAAGAGGGCTTTCCTTTAGGGGTCACTGTGAATCACTAACAAATTTCTATCTTAATACAGGAAACATTTTGGAAACGCTTATATTATTGACAGAGTACGATCAACCAATCAATGAGCATCTTGAGAAAGTTCGTGATCACCAAGCGAAGTAATCGACAAAGAATGGTAGTAAAACTGATGGAAAAGGAATCAAAGGACGTGGCTCATGGCTAACGTTTTTGAGCAACGATATTCAAAATAAGTTAATCAATATCATTGGTAAAAAATATCTTCTGCAATTTTACAAAAATACGCAAATACAAAAAATTTTTGGAATTGCTGGATCTTTAAGTCGATATCTACATAGCGTAAATGCTGAGTTTGGAAAAGCAATGGATATGGTTGATAGCTCAATTTCTAGAATTCAAATCATACGTGACAAACCAGAAAAAATCATTGATATTTCCGATTCTTTTGCGTTAGATGTTGAATGGAGGTCTACACGACCACGTCGTCGACGACTAATGGGCGGAGAACAAGCCAGAGATGATTTGGCAGATTCACCAGAAGCACAATGGAGGCGAGACACATTTTATAAAGTGCTAGATTCCATTTAATCTTCAATAAAGAATCGTTTTCAAAAGAATCGACCACAAATGAAATCTTTGCTTTATTCGCACCTAATTAATTTGACGAGCTCTCGAGCAAGTACAAGACATCTCACGATCTTCAATCTGCAGTGAAAGCCTTTTGTGATGTGTATAATTAGATTCCCAAAGATGCCCTACTGAACTGTTAAGCTTTGCAGAAACATTTAAAAAAATTTCACTGTTCTCAGTTTACAACTCAAAGTGACCATGATCATAATAGGCAGAACTTTGAAAATATTAATTTTGGTGATGGTGATGATGATGATGAAAATTATTCTGATACTGAGATAAGTAAGCATTCAAACAATGCGTCAATTACCGAGAAGGCTAAAACTCCGTCATTTTTAGATGCCTTGAACCTTCTTTGTTTTCCAAAGTACCATTTAGTGGACGCATACCCAACATTATGCAAAGTTTATTCAATTGCAGTGTCCATACCCATTAGCTCAGCAACTGCTGAACGTTCTTTTTCTTCCCTGAAGAGAGAAAAAACGAGGATTCGATCTTCAATGGTACTGGAACGCCTGGAATCAGTGCTTTCAGTGGAAGTTGAAAAGGAAACTCTCCTCTCTATCGACAAAGATAGAATAATAACTTTACTTGGGAAAGCCTCCCCGACACTTGCAAAGGCATTAGTATAAGTATATTTTTGTATGAAAAACAAGTAACGTAACAGACATATAATGGCTTGATGATACTTGGTTTTTAAGTTACTTTCTTTTTTATGAAGATTCCTGTTTGTGTTTTATAAAATAACTAAAATACTTGAAAATACCTATAAGAACAGGTGAAAGGGGCGTAAAATTTGTTTTGGCCACCACAGTAAAAACTATGCCACCACGCCACTGGTGCAAATATTCATTCATAGTGCAAATATATTCATGTTAAGTTAACAAAGTTCATGCTAAGTTGGCTAAGTTCAAAAATTCATACTAATTGCAATAATTCATGCTAATTGGAATTCATAGTCTACAAGAAATACATCTGAAAAATCGTACGGTGAAACTAAACGTTGTATAACCTAAAGCACAGTATAGACACAAACAACAGTCTCACTCCATTGTGCAACTTGGTGCTGTATATTTAATTAGATTACTGGTTGCAGATAGCCACTTCAGCGCTCCTATTGGCCAAAAAAAAGCAATTGACTGGCTGCCACTATGCTAATGACATGCTTAATAAGACATGCGCTACCCAAAAAATTTCAATAGAGTGGAACTGCTGTTTTTTCTGTACTGTGTCTAAAGACAAAATATTATAGAAAGGAGTAATTTCTCAAATACTAAACGTTTTTTAAGAAGGGCCATTTATTGAAAAGTGATCTTCTTACTTGTCAATGATCCAGTGATATGCTTCGACCTTAAAAACAGCACATGTTTTTCATTGTCAAAGCGAGGTGGACCTCCACTTAGTCACGGCACCGCATATGAATGTATAAATCCCTGGCCATTTAACTGAAGGGTTTTTGTGAGTTAGATCATTAATCTTGATGATATAACCATGTTATTATTTAATATATAATTCCTTCTATAGTTGATAGTGGACAAAATGCTATGTCCAGCCAATAATGTAAAAATATATAGTAAAAAACAAATTTCGAAGAAACAAAGCTTCTTAAGATTAAAAAATATGAGTCAGAACAAGACGAGAAGTAAACTGAGAATTTTTGACTTAAGTATGCTCAGGATGACTTATATAGTCGAAAAGTCACAGTTCACTGTCTTGTTTCTTCAGAACTTTTTTTTTGCTATATGTTGACAGTAGAGTCTAAATGTCTTATAAGAGGTGATAACGACATCAAGACAAAAATTTTATAACGGTCATTTAGTATTTATAAACAAACACAAGGAAATGAGAGATATAGTCAATAGTATATTAAGAGTAATGACACAAATATTTGAATTTCGTACATTGCTGAAATTTTGTAAAAAAAAGTGTACATTAAATTATGGCTATTAAATTTTTTTCATTTCACCTCTAGGTCAAGCTATCAAAAGCTCTTTCAAAAGTGCAACGAAACAATGGACATGATTCCCTTGCTTCCGTACTCCCTGTTTCACTTCCACTTTCAGTCGAACTACTCGATAGGGGGGCTGGCTGCAAGTCAGAGGAAGTTGCAGGATATTTGTTGCAAGACGATTGAAGTTGTTTTTTCACGTTATTCAAAACTCTTCGCATGCTAGATGATTGCGACAATTTTCTGAATGTTTTATCAAAACTAAAAACATTTCATGAAACAAAATTTAATGAATTTAAAAATAGGCGTGCAGAAAATTTATGGGCATGGAAGAGATATTTGATGCTTAGAATTTATAAACTACAAATATACAATACATTGACATTAATTATTAAACTTACCAGGTGTGAACTAACTCATTGCAGTCATTCTTGTCAAATTTTACTAAAAGCTCCGTTTCATTAGCAGAACAGTAAATTTGCACACATTGAATTTCTGTCATTTGTGAAGCATAAAAATCTGAAAAAATCCTTCTTCCATCACTATATCGGGCATTACGAATAGTTGTTAAAGCTGTTTGGACTTTTACGGGTGCCTTTTGGTAGTCTTCAAAGAACTCCGGTGTCATCTGAAATAAAAATCAAAAA